TTTAAATGGCAAATATAAAATTTTTAACTTTTTACCACAATAAAAATGTTATGAGTACAACTATAAAGGGCTGCATGAAACATAGGGGAGCTCTGGTGGCCTAATGGTACAGGAGATGCACTGTGAACTGAAAGGAAGCTGGTTCAAATCCAGCAGCTGCTACACAAGAAAAAAGATGAACACTCTCTTTCTATGGGATTTATAGCCTCTGAAAATTCACTGGAGAGTGAGCTGAGAGTTGATTCACACGCAATGGCACATAACTGACAACAACAACATGAAATATTTCATAAATATTTAAAAGTAACAATAGTGATTTTGTATCTGAATACTTTGTTAAAAGAAAACCTGGGGAACCATCTACCATCAATGTATTAAACAAAAATTTCCAAACACAGTAGAGATCTAGCTAAGAAGAACCTCCTTCCTAAAGAAGAAGTTGAAAAGGTAATGAATGAATGGAAATCCAAAGTCTCTGTAAACTTTCATTAAAATTTATAATAAGATTTAAAAAAAAAGACTTCAAAGTAAAATGGAGGATCAAAGGAGAACGGCATTCTAGACAGAAGCCACAGTGTACACAGATGCTCTTAGCCATGAAACGGTGAGGTCTATGGAACTGGGGAATATGGAGTCAGAAGAGGCAGGAAGTAAGCCTGAGCTGGATTGGGAAGGATTTTATATGCTAAATGAAGTAGATTATAATTTTTATTTTAGACAACAAAAGGTCTTTAATCAGGAGAGTCATAATTTCATTTTCCCAAAATAAATTCTCTTTAAAATTTTGGGTTTTTTGTGAAAATAGCCATCCAAAACCTGTTTCTATTCCACAATTTCTAGACATTAAGATCTGTGACATTGGCTATATTGTTCACATCAGATCAGCATTCTCATGATTTTTGTTCTAGGTATTTCACTTTGTTTACTAAATCTTTCTGCCCCCAACAGTCTCGTCTATGCTGTTCAGTATGTTTTATAGAGAGATTTTTTTAAAGGTTTTTTTTTTATTGTATTGATACTTTCTGGAAGGCTCTTACAATAATACAGTCATGATGAGAATTTGAATTAAAGATTGGATTAATTAATGTTAGAAGTAGATGTAATACAACTTATCATGACCAGTTGTTTATTTGGAGAAAGTGAAAAAGAGAGGGACTAGATAAGGGTTGTTCCAGCATTCCAAAATTCAGAGGTTACTTGGATTGATTTTTATAAACAAAGATAAAGAAACTCCAGTGGCCTAGTGAGTAAAATGAGATGAGATGGACTGATACAGTAACTGGGGCGATGGAGGTTGGTGTGTTAGAATTAGTGAGACTGGTCCAGGACAGGGAAGGGCTCAGAGCTACTGTACATAGGGTTGCTATGAATCACAGGCAACTCAACCAATAACATTCTATGACAGGTATGGAAGCAGGAGTGACATCCACTTCCTAAACAACTTGCCTCTGGAAACTCTATGAACTTTGATAAATGTTGATAGTTGTAGAGGGGCTTCAGGACTTTTGTTCATAGGGTTGCTATGAGTCATGCTTGACTCTAAGGCAATCAACAACAACCACCAAAAAAAACACAACAACTCTAGACCAGATGGTTTTACAAGTGAATTTTATCAAACATTCAGAGAACTGTCACCAATTCTACATAAACTATTTCAGAAAACAGAAAAAGATGGATTTCTCCCAGGCTCATTCTATGAAACAAACTTATCCTTGATACCAAAACCAAGTAAAAAGACACGACCAAAATAGAAAAATATAGGCTAATATCTCTCATTAACATAGATGCAAAAATCCTGAATAAAATACTGGCCAATAGAATCCATTGATATATATATAAAAAAAATCACCATGACCAAATGGGGTTCATAACAGTTATGCAAGGATGATTCAACATAAGAAAAATAATGACTGTAATTCATCACATTAACAAAGCAAGAGCAAGAACTACATGATCCTATCAATTGATGCAAAAAAGACCTTTGACAAAAATCAACACCCTTTCCTGGTTAAAACACTCAACAAAATAAGAATAGAAGGGAATTTCCTCAATATAGTAAAAAGTATATACACAAATTTGAGAGCCAATGTTCTCAATGCAGAGAGGTTAAAGGCATTCCCAAGGAGAACAGGAACTAGGCAAGGATGTCCACTATCACCTCTCCTATTCAATATTGTATTAGAAGTCTTGGCAGTAGCAATAATACAAGAGAAGGAAAAAAAGAGGTATCAAAATTGGTAAAGAGGAGGTAAAATTATCTCTATATGCAAATGATATGATAGTATACTTAGAAAACCCTAAAGACTCAGCAAGAAAACTATTTGACATATTTTACCAATTCAGCAAAGTGACAGGATACAATATCAACATACAAAAAATCAATTGGATCTCTCTACGGTGACAAAGAGACTATAGAGCTGGAGCTAAGAAAAACAATACCCATCACAATAGCTAATCAAAGATTAAATACTTGGGAGTAAATCTAACTAGAACCACAAAAGATCTATTCAAAGAAAATAACAAAACATTACTACAAGAAACAAAAAGAGACCTGGAGAAATGGAAGAATATACCTTGCTCATGGATAGGAAGACTCAATATTGAGAAAGTGACAATCCTACGAAAGGCAATCTACATGTTCAAGGCAATCCCAATACAAATACCAATTGCATTCTTCAATGAGATGGAAAAGGCAATCTCCAATTTTATTTGGAATGGTAAGAGATCCCTGATAAGCAGAGCACTCCTTAAAAAGAGAAACAACGTAAGAGGCATCTTACCCCCTAATTTCAAATCCTGCTACACTGCTGTGGTGGTCAAGACAGCATGGTACTGGTACAATGACAGGCACATAAATCAATGGAATAGAATTGAGAACCCAGAAATTAGCCCATGTACCTATGGTCAACTCATTTTTAACAAGGAGATGAAATCAGTCAAGTGGGGAAACGATAGCCTTTTTAACAAATGGTGGTGTCAAAATTAAACCATCTGCAGAAAACTCAAATAAGACCCACACCTCACACCAAACACAAAACCCAACTCAAAGTGGATTAAGGACCAAGGACTAAAATCAAGGACTATAAACGTCATTAGAGAAAAGCTTGTAGGAACTGTAGAAGCACTAATCCACAACATGAACAGTCTTCCAATCATCCTGGAAAACTTAAAATCAGGAGAGGATAAAATTGATGAATGAGGCCTTTTTTTTTTAATGAGGCCTTCTAAGAATCAAATCCCTATGCACATCCAAAAACTTCTCCAACAGGCAAAAAGGGAAGCCAAAGACTGGGAAAAAATATTTGGTAATGACATGTCTTATAAGGGACTTATATATAGAATTTATAGAATACCCAAACACCACAACAGGATAAAGGTAAACAACCCAATTGAAAAATGGGTACAGGATATGAACATACACTTCACCAAAGAAGACATTCAGATGGCGAACAAACACATAAAGAAATGTTCAGAATCCCTAGTTTGGTGAGAGATACAAATCAAAACAATTATGAGATATCATCTCACCCCAGTCAGAATAGCAAACAACAAATGCTGGTGAGGCTAGTGTAGAAACTGGAACACTTATTCACTGTTGGTGGGAGTGTAAAATGGTGCAACCATTATGGAAGTCAGTATGGCACTTTCTCAAAAAGTTGGAAATAGAAATACCATATGACCCAGCAATTCCACTATGGGGAATATACACTAAAGAAACCATAATGGCTACCCAAGCACATATATGCAACCCATGTTTATTGCTGCTTTGTTCACAATAGCAAAGAGCTGGAAACAACCCAAGTGCCCATATATTCACACAATGGACTATTATGCAGCACTGAAAAATAAACTCATGAAATATTATACAAAATGCCACTGTTATAAAATAGGACTGACATGGGGGTTGGGAGAAAACTAAGAAAAGAGAAGATAAATAATGTACATGGCATTGAAACAGATAAGGGAGAGGAGTGTATAAAAGGAATATATGATTAGGTATTACTGCATGACAAGAGTCCAGAATAAGAGCTTGGTAAAGTGGTCTGGGGCGGTGGGGGATTGGGAGGAAGTATAGAACAATGAAAGAAATTTTCCCCAAAAAAAGTGATCTGGGTCAGGGGCATGGAGGAAAATGTATAACAATGAATGATTGGAAACCCAAGATCTTTATAAACTTTCATTAAAATATCAATAAACATTTTTTTTTAAATAAAGAACCTCCTTCCTGTTTAATTTGTTGTGTAGTAGAAAGGCACTCTCCCCAGAGGGTTGAAGCTGAGATGTGTGGCTGGCTAGGCAGGAAGCTTGCATAGCATACAGAGCGCTGGTTCAAAGGGAGAAACTGATACCTTTCTGTCAAGTGAGTACTCCTGCTGAGTCATTCTCCTCCTTGTATACACAGCTCTCATTTATTTCATTCATCCCCAAGTTGACTTCCCAAACCCAGGTCTTTAAAATAAATGTCTCTGAATATCCCCCATGAAAAGAACACAAGTTTATAACTGGTTAAGTAGTGGAGGACGAAAGGGACTGTTGGTATTTTTGTGTTTTGCATCATGGTATTAGAAGATTAAAATTAGACACTGACATTTCACTTGTGGGGAAACCAGACACAGATTTTGCCATAAATCAAACTTTGGTTTTATCTTTATCGTCACGTACTATAAAGAAGAAACTCTCGGGACAGGCTGAGGGCATAGGACACATTTCCTGCCTAGAAAAAAAAGGAAAGAAAATAGTTAACAGCACTGACGATATCCTTTCTGACCAAATTGTTACATGAATTCATAATAATAAAAGAATGCATAAACTCTTCTTACCACAAGGTGATAGTAAGACTAACAGAAATGAATAGTAGACTAGAAATTTTGAGTTCCTTTTTTAAAATCCAAGATTGTGTGTGTCTCACATTTTTTAATTCCTTTTTTTTTTACTTTTCATTATCAATTTAATTGTAGCAATTAAAAACATCCAATTAAGAAGGAAAAAAAAGAAAAAAGTCCACAGGTTGCCACAATCAAAGCAAAACACAGAGCATCATTTCTTCTGTGTTCTTTCCACAGTTTGAATATTTATGATTAAGGGAGGGCGTGGTTGTAACAGCAAAGGAAGCGCAGGAGAGAAGAAAAAGTAATTTGTGAGCAAGTAGGCATAACTAAAGATAAGGCTAGAAAATTTAGGATCAGACCCAAATATGATTTCAGAACATGAAAATACCCTTTTGATTCCCATTTGCCCTACACACTTGACCATTTCCCAATATGTTGCTGGAAACTTCTGCTTCCTTCTGGCCTTGTTAACACTCCTGTCTTCCACATCCTTGTTCTATGCAATAATTTCATGACTTTCTTTTCATCAAAATGGGTCCAAATATTTAGAAACTAAGAGATGAAGAGAACTTTAGTGATCATTAAATTAAAACTTTAGTTAATTTTAATGAGTAGTAGACCACAGAAGTTTAGTTTCTATTTCAAAGTCCTATTTCTGATCTGTAGCAGAGATGAACCTGTGTCTTCTGGACAACTTCTAAGTTTTCCTCATAATTTAAGCTTTAGTTCTTTATCTTCATTTTTATTTTATTTTCTTTTTTTTAGCTGTGTTTGGTTTTTTAATTCTTTGTGGTTGTGTGTGTGTGTGTGTGTGTGTGTGTACCATCAAATCATATCCAACTGGTAAATTGCCTTTCCTCCTCCAGCGAAGAATCTGATACATATGAACCATGCACCTTCGGGATTGCAGTGCAGCTTCTTGCCAGTAGGCCACCAGAGCTCCCTTTATCTTCATTTTTAATTGACAGAAAACTTTTTCCCTTAGCTATGTCCAATTGGCAGCATCAGGATGGATGGTGAAGAGATTGAGATCATGCTTGGTAGGGTGGAGGGACAGCACAGGAGAGGAAGACCCTCTATGAGGTGGATTGATTCAGTGACTGGGGTAATCGGGATGGGTGTTGATTGCACTGAAAATAATTCTGTTAACAGCAGTACATGAGTTTAGACCACCTATATTCTTCTTTTCTTACTCAGGAAAGAGGAAAATGAGAAGAAATGGAGACACAGGACATGATTTATTATTCTAGAAGTTGGATCCACGACAGTTTTTCCAGCCCGTTTTTGAAAAACTGAATAATTTAGGTGGGAATAGGATTATCTATACAAAAAGAGAGCTGCCCGTATTTAGGGAAATAAGCTTCCATCAGGCAGCAGATTACCAAGGAAAAGGAAAAACAGGCACACCTCCAGGAAATACCAAGGCTGGCACACTCTGAACAAGAGATCTTGCCCTATACTGAGCCATCCTCATAATCTTTGATCTGCTTGACCCCATAGTTATAGTCACTTTGTCAGTTCATCTTTTTGAAGCTCTTTCTCCTTCTCTGACCCATCATCATTCCCAGAAAGATGTCTTTTCCCATTGTTGTTGCTGTTGTTGATTGCCTTCGAGTTGGGCACAACTCATAGTGACCCTATGAACAAAAGGCCTGAAGCCTTTCTATAACTACTAACAATTATCAAAGTTCATAGAGTTTCCAGAGACATGTTGTTTAGGTAGTGGGTGTCACCTAAACAGGAGAGAGGATACTATCACCTTTCTTCCTTGGGCACTGGCAACACCATGGCACAGTATCTGTGAAGAACTGTACACTGTTGAGAGTGTGCCAAGTAACCTACATTTACTATGAAATCAATAATATGTGTTGATGCTGCTACAAGTAAGAAACTGATGTCTTTCTGGGAAAGAAGGGTTTTAAAGTAGTAAATGCAATTGCAAAAAGCACCGGACTGAAGTCAGACAGATGTGGGTTCTAATCCCAGCTCTATAAGCTTTACAGTAAGTTAAAAATCCCCTGGAAACTCCGTTCTCTTACACATGATATGGAAAGAATAAAATACCTGCCTGCTTCACTCACATTTTGTTCTGTTGGGAAGATAGAAATGCTTAGAGAATTTAAAAGCAGAATACATTACACTTATTGTGATGACAGCACTGAGCCTCATTTACTCTCCTACCTGGAAATAGGCAAAAGCCAAATGATCCAAGGCATCTTCGAGACTCGCCTCATCCTCTGTGTTCCACTCTCCATAAGACCCTCGGAAGAGATTAACAGCCTCCTCTAGCCAAGGAATGGCATGGTAATAATCCCCCATGTCATAGGCCACCTGTGGGGAATAATGAAGACGGTCATCACTAAAGTCTCAGCCCACTGACGGAGGGTAGCAAATGGCAACTCAAAGAGTAAGAAGGCAAGTTTTAATCTCAAATGCATTTTAATTTGGTTCAGTTATTATTTATTAAGGACCTACAATATGCATGCGGGAGAAGGATGGGCCATCTCCTCCCATGTGATTAACTGTCTGTGAAATCCCACTGGAGGGTCAGGTATGGGTCAGTTCCTATTCTATGGTACACAACAACATAATATGCATGGCGATAGGGAGCTCTGCTGGCTCATTAGAAGTGCTGCCAACCCAATGGCAGGCAGTTCCAGTAAAATGCATGACATTATACTGGGTGTAGTGAAGTTGCAAGATAATTTGTATTTCAGAGAATTTATAGAATTAGAATCAGGGGGAAAGAAAACTAGAAGCACAAGTAATTGTGCCTAGTGGTAAGTAGCTGCACTGCAGTCCCAAAGGCACATGAATAGAATCCACCAACAATCCACAGGAGAAAGAAGATGGGAAATCTCCTCCCATGAGATTTACGATCTCTGAAACCCCACTGGAGGGTCAGCTATGAATCAGTTCTTCCAACTTGAAGGCACTCAACAGCGAGAACTTAAAAAAAATAGACCAATCTACTTTAAATAATCCATGATGGAGCAGCTTGGGAACACACACAGAACAAATTTCAGCTAATGTTAATAATTCTTGAAACTGCAAGACTTGCTACAAATCCACATTAGTCAAGACAGTGTTACTCATAATGGCCTCCAAAAATGTCTGGCCTACAAATGTTAAAGGAATAAAGAAAGGACTTTCTTCCATAATTCACAGGGAGAGAACAGGTCTTATCTTACAGCTGACAGTCTAAATGAGAGCTTCTAGCCCCTTAACTGTAAGAGAGTAAATTACTATTTGTTAAAGAAAAATGATACTATCATAAGAGGAGATAAATTAATTGATGATTTTTAAAGTAGAGGAATACAAAACTATGTTTTGTTTTGTTTTTTTAAGTTTTGTGTGTGTGTACCATCAAATCAGATCTGACTGGTACAGGAGGAGACTGTCCCTCCTTTTCCCAGCAGAGCATCTGGTGGATTCGAACCGTGTGCCTCTGGGATTGTAGTTGCAGCTCCTTGCCACTAGGCCACCAGAGCTCCCCCAAAACTATGGTTTTATATAGTCAATTCACTTTTTAAAAAGAAGACAAAGGAATATAATGGAAATAGGAAAATATTTTCAACATATAATGGTTATCCATGGTGAAGCTCCCAGTGTAAGACAGGTTTGGAAGCAGGAGTGGCATTCACTTCCTAAACAACATGCCTCTGGAAACTATGAATTTTGAGAAACGGTGATAGTTACAGAAAGCCTCAGGCCTTTTGTTCATAGGATTGCTGTAAGTCAACTTTGACTCAACAGCAATCAACAACAACAACAATAGTGAAAGAGTTGGATGTCTCAATGGGGGGAGGAACTTCAACTTTTCCCCTGCCACATACACAAAACTGACTCAAGATAGATCACAGAATTAAACATATAAAAGAAAACATTTCTTGGTTTTGTTTGCTTGGGTTGTTTTTTTAACTAAAATTTTTATTTTATACTGGTTTCATTTCTTATTTTTTAAATGGCAAAACAAACATCAGAAAAACCATCTCCTGAAATCAGGTAAGCTTTTTTAACAAATGGTGCTGACAAAATTTGAAAACTATCTGCAGAAAACTCAAGCAAGATCCACATCTCACTCCATACACAAAAACCAGTTCAAAGTGCATTATGGACCTAGGACTGTAAACTTCATTTAAAGAAAAGCTTGGAAGAACTCTAGAAGTCCTAATCCACAACATAAACAGTCTTCCAAGCATCCTGGAAAATTTACAACCAGGAGAGGATAAAATAGATGAATGGGACCTTCTAAGAATTAAATCCCTAAGCACATCCAAAAACTTCTCCAACAGAGTAAAAAGGAAAGCCATATTTTTTTTAATGGAGAAAAAATATTTGGTAGTGACATATCTGAAAAGGGACTTGTATCTAGAATTTATAAAATTCTCAAGCACCACAATAAGATAAAACTAAATAACCCAATTGAAAAACTGGCACAGGATATGAACACACACTTCACTGAAGAAGACATTCAGATGGCTAACAAGCACATGAAGAAATATTCAAAATCCCCAGCTCCAAGAGAGATGCAAATTAAAACAACTATGAGATATCATCTCACCCCAGTAAGAATGGTAAAACTTAACAAAACAGCAAACATCAAATGCTGGCGAGGTTGTGGAGAAACCGGGACCTTTATTCACTGTTGGTGGCAGTGTAAAATGGTGCAACCACTATGGAAGGCTGTATAGTGCTGTCTCAATAAATTGCAAATAGAGATACCATTTGACCCAGCAATTCCACTACTGGGAATGTACCCTAAAGAAACCATAACCGCCACCCAAGCAGATATATGCACACCCATGTTTATTGTGGCTTTGTTTGCAATAGCAAAGTGCTGGAAACAACCCAAGTGCCCATTAACAAATGAATGGATAGAGAATCTCTGGTATAGTCACACAATGGAATACTATGCAGCATTGGAAAACAAGGAACTCAGGGAATATTATACAAAATAGGTGACTTTGGAGGACATTATGCTGAGTGAAATATCTCAGTCACAAAAGGAGAAATACTGCATAGGGACATTGTTGTAAAATGGGACTGACATCAGAGTTGAGGGTAAACAGAAAAGAAGGGGAGGAATGATGTATATTGCATTGAAACAGATGAGGGAGAGTACTGTTTAAAAGGGATATATGGATGGGTATTCTTGTCATTACAGAAATCCAGAGTGAAGGCTGCATAGTGGAGTGGACTTGGGGGGAGGGACTGCATAGCAATGAAAGAATTTTACTTTTCAAGAAGAGTGAATTGGGGGGGAGGGAGTGGGCAGGGAGAAAAGTGCAACAATGAATGGATGGAAACCCTAAGTCTCTGTAAACTTTCATTAAAAATTAATAAAAGTTTTAGAAAAAGAAAAACCATCTCCAAAGGAAGGTGGAAAAAACCCTCAAATCATTAATCATGTATTATACAATAACTGTTGTTATGTGACATCAATATGACTCCCAGCAACCCTTCCAGACCAGAACCTTGTCTTATCTGACACCATCCTCATGATTTCCAACATGTTCACACACATTCATTGTTACACTCAGTGTGCCAATCCATCTCATTGAGGGCTGTCCTCCCTTTCCTTGACACTCCATCTTCCTTAGTATGATGTCTTTTTCCAAAGACTAACCCCTCCTGACAACATGACCAAAGGATTTGACATGAAGTTTTGACATTCTTGCCTCTAAAGAGCATGCTGGTTCTACATTCTCCAAGACATATTTATTTGTTCTTTTGGCAGACCATGGGATAATCAATATTCTTCACCAACTCTATAGTTCAAAGGCATTGATTCTTCTTTGATCATCCTTGACACAAAAGAAGCAATTGAGAAAATTGTGACTTTAATCAGGTTCACCTTAATCTTTAAGCTGACATCCTTTCTCTTCGACACTTGGAGATATACCTGACTTCAGATTTTCCCAATGCATTATGTCTTGTGATTTCCTGGATTTTGCTACTACCATGGGTGCTGATTGTGGGTCCCAGTAAAATGAAATCATTGACAACTTCAATCTTTTCCTTTTATCATGATGTTGCCTACTGGTCCACTGATAAGGATTTTTTATTTTTCTTAATGTTGAAACTTAAATATTAAAGATTATATTCTTTGATCTTCTTCAGTAATGCTTCAAAGTCTCCCTCACTTTCTGCAAGCAAGGTTGTGACATCAGCATAACACAGGTTGTTGGTGACTCTTCCTACAATCCTAATGTCACATTCTTCTTCATTTAGTCTGACTTTTCAAATATTTTGCTCAGCATGTAGTTTGAACAGGTAAGAAGAAAGATACAACCCTGACCAACACCTTTCCTGATTTAAAAATAATCATTAGGAAAGATTAATAAATCCAAATATTGGCAAGATGTGAGACAACTAGAATTATCACATCTTGTTCTAGGAATGTAAAATGATATAATCAATTTTTTTTGTTTTAACAAACAAGTTTATTTTCTTTTTATTATGATTTGAGTGAAAGTTTACAAAGAAAACTGGTTTTCTACTCAACCATTCTTATACATCTTGTCTTATGACATTAATGACAATATCTACAATGTAACCATACTCTTCCCATTTCCTCCCTGTGATTCTCATTTCCATTAATTCTTCTGTTCAACCTTCTGAGCTTTATGACATTTTGTCTTATGTAGATGGTTATTCTAAAGGGTTAGTGTTTCTTTTGTGCCTGCACCTTACATTGTTTGGCCTATCTAGTATTTGCCTAAAAGTTCAGCCATACAGGTCAGTTTTGTTCCAGGTATGAAGGGGGACTAAAGGCCATGGTCTCATTAGATGAGCAATCTTGTCCATTTTCCTGTTTTTAGAGTTTTGTCCCACCCTTTACTTCTCCTCTACTCAGGACCTTCTACAGTGATCCCTTTTAGAATGATCAGCAGTGACAGCTGGGCACCATCTAATTCTTCTGGTCTCAGGGTCAGGGAGGTTGAAATTTGTTTGGCCCATTAATCTTGAGGACTAGTTGTTTCTATGCACCTTTGCTTCCCCATTCCTTCTTGTTCAGGGAAAGACCAATAATCCCACCTTAGATGACGGCTCACAAGGTTTGAAGACCACAGACACTATTCACCAAAGGAAGACAAAGAGCACAGTCTTTGTGGACTATGCTATGCCAACTGACCCTGATGTTCCCTGAGCCTATAGAAGGTCCTGTGAGATAAAATCAATTCAGAAAACCATTTTCCAGTTTCCTATAAATTAAGCATCTATTTCTTTTTTTTGAAGCAGAAATCCCATACCCAGGTATTTATCTAAGAGAAATGAAAACAAATGTTCACAAAAATACTTACATAAGGTTGTTAATAGCAATGCTA